GCTGAAGTGGTGTGCACTTAGATACTCCATTTCCAGGAGCAGACTTCAAAGTAGATACATTTCAGCATTTGAAAATAGCCATAAACTACTTTTTTATCTATTGTTTTGTACTAACAGGGTTCTCTTAGAGCACTAACAGATGATCACCAAAGGAACTGGCTTAGAGTTTAAAAGCATCCAACCAGCTCAGACTGCCTTGCAAGGAACAACTGAAAAATCCTTCCCAGTGCCCTGCTTTGCCTTCTCAGGCAGCTTATGAATAATCTTTAGGGAAGCCCTCTGAAGCTCCAGAATTTTTCATGCTCCCCTCCCAGTATTCTATTTTCTTCACTTACAAAACAGTGAGTACCTATGGGGAGGGCAAGATTTACATTTCTTTAAAGCATGATCATAAATTGCAGCAGTCCCCCAAAGCAAAAGACTTACTGCTAACCCCATAAAAATGGAAATTTGACTCAGAACAGTTAAAAAAAGGGTTTTTGGCGATGTGAAGTTCCGGTTCTTGCTCAAAGGAACAGAAGGGTGGTATATTAATCTTACAATATGGCAGTACAGTAGAACTTCAAAAACTGAAATGATATATGTAGGAAAATGAGGAATTTCCACTGGGGACTCTAACTCATATGTTATGGGAGAGATTAAAGAATAATAAATTTTGGAAGGAAGTATTAATGGCTAGAGGGGGCACTGTGAACCTGGCATTCCCTGAAGCCTGGAACTTTGTATACCAAACACTAAAAATGATTTGTGCAGAACAAGAAAACATTAGCTGTTATTCTCACCATGACCAGTTACACACTGTACAAGGCAAGAAGTCCTTTATAATTTAGAACTTCCTTTATAATTTAGAGATTAATAGATAGGATGGTATTTGCCATTATGTGAAATGGTAACCATGTCTGGGAAGAAGAAAGGAGCACTCAGGGTATTTCCCTGCTCTCACAGAAGGGCTGACCACAATGGTCCTGAACATCATTAGCCATGCTGCCATGCACTCACAGGCAGCAGCTTTCAGCCCAAGCTCTTCACAAACAGAGCTGAAGTGCTCTCAGAGTGTAGCAAATGTCAGAGCTCTGCCTGGGTCTGCAGCTCCTCCAACCCTGCCCTTCTCTGGGGTCTATTTGTTTCCTGCTTTTGATACTGGTACCCTTTTGACTTGCAGGCTGAAAACAGCTTCAGCCTTCACATTTGTCTGCTCTGGAGATAAAATTCTTGGCAAGAGAAATAAAACCTCGATTTAAAGCAAATTAAAGGTGAAAAAATTCCTGCTTCTTTACCATATTAATTAGGAAATGCCATATATCCATATATTTTCCATGGAATTATTCCTAGTGTGTCAGGAGGTCTCCTGGTGAACTGCTCTGGGGAGACAGAAGTGTGAGGCAGCAATCAGCTCATTGTTCCCAGAATTAGCACAGGACTGGCCTTCAGGAGGAGGCATGAAATGTTAGCTGGGGAGTTATGGGACTCTCTCAGAGCCCACTGTCCATCTGACCAGAGCTCTTGCTTCTCCCAGTCTCATACCTGCAATTAAGGCACTTTAAATACAAAGAGCAGAAGATCTGCTGAAGGAAAATCTGGGTGAAAAGATGCAATTGAAAACTCCCAAATCAGCTAGCACACACACAGCTCTCCTGGTGCAGGTCACTGTGTGCCCCTACACAAATTCCCTGAGGTGCTGCACGTACCATGTGATACTGGGGTTACCTGACTTACTTTACTGAATGCTGTACTAAATGGTTACACAAAATCCTGTGTAAATACCAGAGTACAAGCTACAGCTGCCCCTGAGGAGCTTTAACTTATGCACTGTCCCATAAAACTTCCAGGTAGGGAAATGAATAAAAAGTCTCAATGCTTTCTTATTCCATCAGCCGTTCATGGTGAAGAATTCTGCACTGAATGTTTCCATTGTTCAATATAGATGGGGGAAATAAGATTAGCCTGAGATGGAATATCCCATTTTCTCATGCAGTATGTTCTCTAGCCAACTCAAGCTTGCTGGTTTGGCAGAATTCAGAGCTCTCTGAAGACAGTGATTTTTTGAAGGCTGACAAAGTTTCATTTGGCAAAAACACACACATTCCATTCCATCCCCCAGCCTCAGGTGTTCTATGTAGGGCTAATGTTCTGCCAGAACATAAAGAACAGCACATCAGAGCCTGTTCTGCCAAACAGCTGAATCGTGGCTCTGAACTGCTGCTTTGCTCTGGACAGTGGAGGTGACCTGGTCCCTCATTTCTGCTCTCCCCAGCAGTGCAATAGGCCATGGCAGGTTTGTTCCAGAGCTCACAAGTGCCAAGTGGCACTCAGAATGATCAGCTACAGCCCTCACCCTGGATCTTTAAAACACAGCTCAGAGAAAGCACAAAGCAATCCCTAACGTGGTCTGACACACAGAGTAACTTGCAAAATATAACCCTTGACCCAAAGGTCAGGTGTTAAAACACTGGGGCTGAAGTTCCTGGCAGAGCAAGTGGTGTGGGAAGCCCTGAAGGCAGCACGGCCAGCGTGACTGCAGGAGAGGCAGCAGGCACAGGAATTGTCTTGTCTGCCTGTGCTCTGCAGAGCCAACCCCTGAGTACTGCACATGCCTCAGCAGGTGGGGAGCCGGCAGATCCCACACCAACTGCACGTGTCCTTCCCACACAGAGGACAGGGAGGCACCTCCAGCCATGCCTGCTTCCAGCTGGCACAGCACAGGCAGCTCTGGCTGACACTGCACTGCTCAGGGGGTGCAGAACGAGCAGATACTGCCAGCATGGCAAAGGGAAAGTCAGTGCTGGAGAGCTGGAAAAGAAAACCCCAGTCGAGGTGGAGAGGGAGAAGAATGAGGCAAGGCTGGTGAGGATCCTTCCTGCCCAGAGGTAACTGCCTTCTCCAGCTGTCAGCTCAGATATCCAAGTTACATAGAAGCAATCCATAAGCCAGCACTGCAAAATACTTTGGGAAATGCCAGGTGAAATCCTGTGCCTTGAGCCCGGGCCCTGGGCTGAGCTCACTGAGCAGCACTGCTGGTGGGTGGTGTCTCCTGCAGCCAGAGCTGGGCCCTGTGCTGGCAGCCCCATGTGATGACAGACCAGACTGCCACACACTGCTGGCCCTTGCTGTGACACACAGGGAATTTCTCCTGTCCAGCTTCTGCCTCATTCCGCAGAAAATACCTGTTCAAATACAGCCACCCTAATTCAGGTTCTGACAACAAGCACTCAAAGACCTTGTATGCAATTATAACACAGTGCAAGAAACATTTCCTCTGGTCCTTTAGATCATCTCCAGGAATTGGAAACTTAACCTGCATACTCAGTATAAATGTTTAAATATAACATAGCTGCATCTTACCCAATAAGTGAAGCAATCCATGTTTTCTTATTTGCTGAATGTCTTTTTTTCAGTGAAAAGCACAAATCTCTCTAATCATGTAACCCAAGTGCAGAAATCAATCCTGAAGGCTGGGTGTCTACTTTGTTGCAAGTGTGGGCAGCATTTTACAGGAAGACATGAATAATGAGTAATTCTGTTAACCTGGATGTTGGAATGAATACCTTGGACAGAAGAATTTTTAGATCAACCTCCACAGCACTAAAATTTCAGCAAGTCTCCTTACAATGTGTGCAACACTCTTCAGTTCCAAATGTAACCCGCAAGGAACACATGCATAAATTATAATATATCCACTGGGGAAACCTCTGAAATATTATAAAAAAGAGGGAAATGCATTTTAGGGGTCAGTCTGCTCAACTGTCTGCTTTTAAATACAATTTCATATCAGGAATAATTAATGCCTTTACTGTAGTCAGTGCTTAGATATTACAAAGAGAAAAAACCAAAACAATTTCTTTCACTACTCTGCAGAGAAAGGAAAGGATTATAATTTGAAAATGGCTAATAGCTTTTAAAGTATCTGTACCTTGAATTCTAAGGATTTGACCAACATAAAGATACTGTGCAAACTTCTAATTCCAACAGATTCACAATAATTAAGCTAAGATGCCCATGGAAGACTAACATACCACTAAGGCAGAAAGTGTTGTCTCCTCTGGAATATTAAACCAAGAGACATTCTGCACTCCATGGAAGGGCTGATGGATCACAGGAAAGGAGCTTTGTCTTTCCCAGAAAAAAATGCATGTCTAGCACTTAGATAATAAAATCTGATCCAAGTAAATGTGTTGTTATCCCCCTGAAGCACAGAGCTGCCCAGCAGACACCCTGAGGGAGCAGAGTGCTCCTGGCCACGTGGCACTCAGATGTGCAAGCAGCATGCCCACACTGCACTTCCCTCCACTCCTGGCACCAGGGCTGCCCTGCCCAGCACTGGCAGCTTTAGGCAACTGGTGAGAGCAGTCTCCAGACAAGGCAAGCCCCACAGCTGATGCAGGAGTCCTCTCCAAACCACAGAAATGCAAGTGGCCAAAGACCAAATCTGTTTTTCAATGTTCTTCCCAATTTCCCTGCTTTCACCTCTGAGTGATTATCCTTTGGCCAACTTTCATTTGGCTGCTGCTTCTCTAGAGTTTGATGGATCTCATCATGAGGAAACTGGGAAGGTACATCATGACCATTTTCTTCCCCTGTCATTTCTTTGGCTCTGTTTAGAACCTGCTCCCAAACACCACAGCTCCTACCACTTGAGAGCAGATGCAGCCTCTCTGCAGCCTGCAGGGAAGCATCAATCCCTGCAGAGTGGAGGTGCTCATGGGGCCCTGCTGTGCAGGGAAGCATCAATCCCTGCAGAGTGGAGGTGCTCATGGGGCCCTGCTGTGCAGGGAGCATCAATCCCTGCAGAGTGGAGGTGCTCATGGGGCCCTGCTGTGCAGGGAGCATCAATCCCTGCAGAGTGGAGGTGCTCATGGGGCCCTGCTGTGCAGGGAGCATCAATCCCTGCAGAGTGGAGGTGCTCATGGGGCCCTGCTGTGCAGGGAGCATCAATCCCTGCAGAGTGGAGGTGCTCATGGGGCCCTGCTGTGCAGGGAGCAGCTGTGCACAGCAGCACTCACCTCGTGCAGGGCGCAGCTCAGTGATGCTCTCGGTGGCTTCGTCGTCCGAGTCTTCGGTGGCCACCACCTTGTACCTCTTGCTGCTCTGTTTGTTGAGCACGTGAGGGACCTGCAGTGCAGCCTCTCTCTCTGCAGCCAGATCCAAATCCTGCTGAGCAAGGTGGGCCCTCAGCTGCCTGATTTCAAACTAGAGGAGAAAACAACATCACAAACTGATGTCATGTGAGCACAGCCAGAAGTTTTTATGCTACAGCTGGGGACCTGTGACTCGTTTTATCACTAAACAGTCTGGTAAAACAAATAGTGTGCTTGAGCCAGGACATGAGTCCAAACTGGTGGTGCTCCCCCAGAGCCTGTGTGAGCTAGACCACTGCTCACATAATCTAAGGACAATGACTGCCTCATTCTAGTCTTCTATTTTGCACAGCTGTGTCCTGAAGGTAAAATTTTGGACACTTTTAACAAGTGTTACTGCCCAACCTCACGTAACCTTTACGGAAAGCGATCACTTTTAACAGGCATTTAGGGAGTCAGGTTCATGACAAATATCCCTAACTAGACTTTGTAATGAGACTTCCAGTGGAGGGGAGGTTCCCTGAGCAGCACTCCCTCACTAACTAGATAAGGGGAGGATACTACAATCCTCTTCTGACTTGAAATCTTCTGTACTCAGCAGTGTGCAGAAAATCTTGGGGAAGGTTTCCACTTTTCTGGCCATTCCTCTCAAACATGGCAAAGAATTTCTGCAGCCACGAGGGGATTTGATCATGACTGGTGTTATAAAGCAGACACCTGACAAAAAGTACTAGGTACAATGTGACTGAGGGATACAGCACATTTCTCTTGTTTTTGATGGCCAGGCATCTTCCATAATGCAAGAAGGAAAACAGTTCTTTTGGAGAGGCTGCAGAGACCCTTCAAACCCTTAATATAAGCAGGAGAAAACTCCCTGTGCCACACAGCACAGCTATGGGGCTGCAAGGAAGAGTTCCTCTTTAAAAGGGTAACTCTAAAATCAGTAGTACAGCAGTGACTAAGTCATGTCTAATTCCAGAGTTTGAGAGGGACACATAAATGAAGTGAGTCCCAGGCAAACATTTAAATGTGGCACTGCTGGGCCTCCCCTGGTTGAGGTCCTGTAGAGACAGGGCAGAGCAGGACATGGCAGCTGCCACCCCACACTCACAGCACACACAGAATGGGCACCTCCACGCTGGAAATCTCGAGTGGAACAGCCCTGCAGTGCACCTGGCTGTGCCTCTCACCCCTCAGGTGTGACCCAGATCTGTTTCCCTGGCAGATTTTGGAACCTTTCACCACACCCTGCTCCTTCTGCTGCAGTCAGATGAGGTGCAAACACCGGGGAGGGGAAACCAGACAGAATTGCCACAGATTTAGGAAAGAAAAAGGGATTCCAGTTTGCCACACCTGGAGACCATCTGCTTTCCAGAGCATCTGGGAAGGAACCACAGTACCTGGAAGGCCAATTGCAAGACTCAAATCTAGAAAGCCAAAGGGCAGTTCAAGTTTTCCAGATCCCATTCAGAGCAGCTAATCCAGGGCTCTAACAGAGCTTTTCCTCCATCTGCAATTGAGTGCACAGCCTGGCAGCTGCAGACAGCTGGCTGCAAGTGCTCACTGCTTTTAACCTAAGGTCTTCTGGCAGTGGCAGTCAGGAGTCAGGTGGAATCAGTAAATGTCAAAATACTGCCCTGCTCCCTGATTTCCTGCAATGAGGCCTCCATGGCAGACTCCTGCAGGTTGTTATTGTGTTAACCTATTGCTAGCAAGAACTGGCACTGCTAATTCTGTTCCCAGCCAGCCTGATGTATCCTGGGGCTCAAGGTGCTTGTGCCAGTATGAACACAGGGAATTTCAGATTTCATTCTTGACTTGGAAAACACAAGGAATCACAAGGAATACCTTATATTCCACCTTTAAAAGAAGAAAGCTACCCTTACAGACACTCCCTCAGTTTAATGGAAGAAATGCACTCAAACATGGTAGGCAAAAAATAAATTTGGAGATTTTTTTATATTGTCTAGCTCAAACATAATTTCTGTTTTTCTACATTTCACCCTTCAAAAACATTCACATGTGTCAGAAAAAGAAAAAACTGTTATTAAAATGCAAGACAAAAAATTTGGCAGGTATTTTTTTAACACAGATAGAGCTAGCTAAAAGTCAGCTCAATGACTATGTCTGCATCAGACCCAATTTAAGGAGCTGTAGCATTTACAAAGAATCTGCTGAGCACTGTAACCATCAGAAGCCTGAACGCATCACGGCGTTGTACAGGTGTGAAGGAGCAGCAGCCCAGAGTAGGAACGGGGGAGGGCCCAGGCTGCCGCTGCGCACTCCCAGTTGCTGGGGACACACAGAGCATTTCAAAGGGCACAGGTTCCTGGCAGTGCCCAAAGGCCCGGGCTGGCAGAGGCCGCGGGCAGAGCCCGTGATCGGTGCCGGTCAGAGCCCGGGCCCGTCCGCAACGGGGACACAGCGCGCCCGCAGCGCCGCTCTGCTGCCACCTGCCGAGCACAGCGGGAACACCAACCGCGGGTCACAGCGGGCACCGGGATACACAGGGACACACCGGGCACAGGGACACACCGGGCACCGGGACACACCGGGCACCGGGACACACCGGGCACCGGGACACACCGGGCACCGGGACACACCGGGCACCGGGACACACCGGGCACCGGGACACACTGGGCACCGGGACACACCGGGCAATGGGCACAGTGGGCACCGGAACACAGCGGGCACGGGAGACACGGTCACAGAACTGAACCTAGGCACTGGTGCCACCCTGACACAGATACCAAATCTGCTACCAGTGTCACCCTCTCACAGACGCTGGACCTGGGCACTGGTGTCACCCTGACACAGACACTGAACCCAGGTACTGATGGCCCCTGTCACAGACAAGAACCAGAATTTTTGTTCATAAATGGCACGGACCTACAGAGGAGATTGGTTCCTAACAGAGGAATTGTTTCCTAACAGTTATCCCAGGATCCTGCAGATGCTGGAATACAGAGTCAGCCACTCAAAGCAAGCCCCTAAAATACAGGTTAGTCTAACCTAACCCTAGGATCTAACCCTTAGGGTGTGTTCCTTACAGGCAAAATGTGACGAGAGGCTCTTAGGTTGTAGGTGCTTCTATCTACTGAAGATTATATTGCATGCTGACCTCAGGCAATTCCAATGTGTACAAGAGCTAATGAGATTGCTCTGACTGCATTCAGCAGCCCAGAGCAGCTAAAATAAATCACTAGGAGGTATAAAATATAACAATCTTGTCAAGTTAAAATTCTGGGCCAAGCTAACAGGTGAAATTCCTATTTGCAGTAGGAGCTGATATAGTGGTCTGAGTGTACACCTGGACCAGCAGAGCTGGACTGGGGAAACCATGATTTGTATTTCCAGGTACATCATCCTTCCCTCAGCCAACAGGGCAGGAGCATATTGCACATACCATCAGAGGACTAAAAAAAGGCACAGAAACTAAAACACATACTTTGATTTGTTTAAATTAACTTACAGCTATCAGCTCTGGAAGAACTTTGCAAATCTCTCAGAAAGACAGTGAGCAAAAAACTGCTCTTGTGTGCAAGATAACTTGTGACCCAGGAGACAAAGGTAAAACATCTTCTGACTCATGGTAATTACAGAGCACTGGTCCACTTGAAGCTGCTATTGCCTCTGTTTATCAGGACACCCATGACATTCATGTTCCTTAATCACACATGCTTTGGTAGCTTCTGGCAGGCATTTACCAGTAAGTTTCAAAATACTTTGTAATGGAAAATATATTTTTGAAAACTTCATAGAATCCCAGCATAATCTAAGCTGAAATGGAACTGGGAGGGCCATCCAGTCCAACTCCTCACTTAAACCAGCTCCATTCAGCTGAGGTTGCTGAAAGCCTGTCCTCTCAAATTGTGACTATCTCCAGGCTGTGTGTACACAGCACCACCTCCCTGGCAAGCTGCTCCAGTGCTTGCCCATTGTCACAATGAAAATGTTTGTTCTGGTATTTCACAGGACGTCTGCACATTCCATGCTGGTGCACTGTCACTGTGCACCTCTGAAACTGTCTGGGCTCACCCCACCACGATGGAGCTGAGACAGCAACAAAGGTGTAATACATGTGGCTGAAGTGAAAATACACTTATTGCCAAGAAAATGGGAGACACGGAACATTTTTAAAAAAATTAGTAACTAAGATTGTCTGGCATGAAGGTAAAGTTCACCAATGGGAAATTTAAACTTACCATTTTCAAAATCTGTTACATGTCCTCTTGCAGCACAAACCTGGCAGTATTTTGTCAGGAAACAAACCAGAAAGAATTATGGGGCACTCCTGTGCACTTCCTCACTCAAATAATGCCTTAGGTGATTATTTCTAAGCAGGTAAATTGACAGACCTACCCTGAGCCCCAGATAACATCTCCTTTTACATGCCTGGTTTTATTAATGGGTCACCCATCCTAGCTGATATTTTATAATACACATGTAAGACTCAAAAAGGGACTTAGCAGTGAATCATGGAGTACTCCCCTTTAACGGTCTAACAACAGAGTAGGACTGACATGGCTTCAGAGAGATCAATGAACATTTTAGCCAGAAGCTTACTTGTGTCTAATGCACGAGCAATAACTTTGCTCAATTCTATTAGTGCTGTCTGTACAGAATGCCCTGCCCTAAAACTCATCTGCCACTGGGATACAATCCAATGTTTATTTCCATTAGTTTAGCCATTGTTGGTAACAATAAAAATCGGGAGACAGTTGCAAACTAATGATTTACGGGTAGAATAAAACACAGGATGACCTTGGCTGCCTTCCATCCACCAAGAAAATGACTGGTAGTTAGAAATAAATTAAAATTATTGCAAGAGGATAGCATACGTTATTTCTCCGATAGGTAATTTTACCAGCTAAATAGCCCTGTCATTAAACTGGCAGCTGTTGTACAAATTATATTCCAAGATAAAAAAAGAAATTAAGCTTCCATAGTTTGTGCAGTGCTCAGAGTGATGAAATCCCCAGTTCTATAGGAACTGACAGAAAAGGAGCTCTGGTGTGATAAGGCTGAGCAGCACACTCTTGGCTGGGCTGTGTTGAGCTCAATTGCTCTTATGGAAGCTAAGCAGAAAAGATCAGGTAAGTATATCTACTATCACAAATGGAAATTCCTTTACAGGTGATTCCAGAGGAAAAAAACAATCTTCCCTGATTGGAATTTGTAGCTAATGAAACTTTAGAACTTTGTTTTTTTGCAATTTAAGTTAGTCTGATAAAACAAAACTATCAGCAATATACTCTGCATATTTTTGATAGTGACTGCAGTGAGACTTTTACCTATTTTTAGAAATCCCTCATACTCCAATCCTGTTTAACAACCTCTTTTTTTTGCCAATGGAGAATAAATAAAGAGCAAACTATTCAAAAAGTTTCACTGGGGTACTACAGAGAACACAGTGGTGGTCTGTGCAAGTATAATTTATAAATACATTCTGGTTTTCAGAGGTACAGCTAACTAAAAAGCAACATGTGGAAAGAGTTTCCATGTTTCTCCAATGTCAGTCAGGAATGGAAATGTACTTTATAGCTATTGTACCCCATCACTGGTCAAAAAACTCCACAACTGACAAAAGAAAGAGAATTCAAAAAGATAAAGGGAGGTTGTATCTTTCCTGCTTTTAATTTTTAAAACAGAAATTCTGGTTTTGTCTGCCTAGCATTAGGCACCGGCTTCAAATCAGCATGGGACGTCTCAGAAAATCGGCCACCAGTTTTTTGTTTTACATCCCAAGCAAAACAGGCTGACTGTTTTTCCCAATTCCTCTAATGAAATAACTATTACTTTGCTTGAAACTTTCAAGATTATTTAATCTGCAGAATATGCCAGACCCTGAGAATTCTAACCCAAATTGCCTGAGCAGCAGCAAAGTAGAAGAAACCAAGCACACCATCTCAGAAAAGGAAGGAAACCTTTCCAACAGGAACGTTCTCAGCCCCATCTCTAACTATGGAATAAATGCAAATACCCAGTGTGGTCACAAAGGTGCAGCACAGGGTGAATCAGTGCCTGCCCCCACTGCTGGGCTGCAGGGAACCACGGTGACTTGACTTGCCCCACACCCACCTGCCCTGGCACAGCTGGCACCACGGACAGGGCAGCCTGGAACCCTCCTGGCTGCTGCTCTGCTCTGGGCACAGCCAGCAGGGCAGGCAAACCTTCCCTCACAAACAGACACCACGAACAAGCAATCCTTTAGAAAGCTCAGGAAAGATGATCAAATGAAAAAGCAAAAACCTGGCAGAATTTTAGACATTAAATACCATTAGAAGCCATTTTTCCCATCAGATGCTGTACACAATGTTAATGTGAATATTATAATGCTGACAACTTGTTCTTGACTGAATTATGAAGCTAATAATTTACAAATAAAGGATGCAGTACTTGTGTCAATGTCTTATGCTGCTAACTGCAGCAAATTAGTACATTTACCTGATATTATACAGCTGAGACAGCTGTTTGGCAGCAAGTCAGGCCAGTAAGTGGGATTAGCATGCTGTCATCTTTCTATAGACTGTATTTTTCCATAGCAGGTGACACTTGAAAGCTGCAAGAGAACCTGTTCTGTTTTCTCAGATTTACTCCTCTCCCAGTGCAGTATTTCTTTCTTTGATGTACAGGTGGTTGTAACCATCAGAGCTCAGATTTAGGGCTACTCTGGTCACACATTCAGGAGTACCTGGCTCAGAATGAAGAGCAGCAAGAGCTGCTCCTAAACCCCACCTGGGATAATGAGCCCACCTTTACTCAGACCACGAAACAGTAACACCAACAATTGCTCAGAGATTGAGAATGTTATCTGGCTGTATAGCAAAGTTCCTAAAAACAAATGTTTTACAATTTATGATTGTCAAGACCTTTAGTATGGTCTGACAGACAAAATACTGCACTGGGACTCAAGAACTCACTGAATGCTTGATGGGTTTGGTGAAGGGATAACCCCTCCCTTGTAAAATGGGGTGTGTACCACTCACCTGGCCATTCCTTGACAGAACCCCTGGCCATTCCTTGACAGAACCCCAGTCACTAAGTACCATTGTGCAAAGGGGTTCTGAAGAGGACTGCAGTTTTACCCACCAAACACACTTATATAGTTGGCACTTACTAATTTTTGGCAGAAGCCAAGACTTAAAACTTTGTTATGGTTAATGTGAGTGACTCAAAACCAGTGTTATGAAATGACACAGTGTCTACAGCCCTTCCTCTTGCATCACACAGACAAGGCAACTCACCACCAGCAGCAGTTCATCACAGCACCCCAGGCTGAGATCCAGGACACCTGGACCTAAACCTAAAAATCCACTTGGGGACCTAAATATTGATGGTTTTGTATTTCAAAAGTACCTGCCACAAGCCAGGAGAGGTAGTCGAAGCTAGAAATCTCCAGGATTTATTTGGACTATATCTCATAGCTCCCCTTTCACTGAAACAAGAAGTAAATCACCTGGGGATCATCCTGTTGTGGTCCGATGGTCACCTCAACACTCACTTATCCCGAGCCTCAACATCCATCCCTGCTTTCTACTGTAAAGCAAGTTAGTCAAGAACTCATTTGCATAAGACAAATGGCAAAAACTCCTGGCTCATTGCCCCAGAAATGGTTTTACACCTTTTTCATGTAAAATATATTCATTTGAGATATTTCAAACTTCACCTTCCCTTACCTCTAGACTGAATCACTGAACATTTGGGGGCCTGGGAAGAGTCTTAAATCTTGACTTGCTTCCAGGAACTAGAAGCTTCTACTGCAACGTTTTGAGCTTGCCAAGAGTCTCTGACTGACCTACAGGGAAGCTGCCTTTTGCATTTAAAGCAGGGAAATTCATTTGTTTTTAACTGCACTAGGAATACTAGCTGCAGCCTCCAACAATGGCTTTGTATGTTAGTATTATGTCAAGCTAGCTGTACTCATTCAATAAATGACATACTGGAACCATTTCTTTTCTGTTGCTCATATTTGTTTTCCTCACCTCAGAAAACACAAGCCCAGCAGCAGAGGCAGCTGTTTGACAAATACCATGCTGACAATATCCTGGCTGCAGCTAATGCTTCCTTAGCACTGAGACCTGTCACCCCAGAGCACAAGTCCCAGTGGTACTTCTCAAAGCTCAGCTTGCATGAAGTACATGAACTGTTTGATTTGCCTTGACAAGATATGCGTAAATAAAGACAGAACTGAACTTTACCCCTTGTTCTTGGCAGATCTGGGTTAGTCTTTCCAGCTGCTCATCTTGAATAACTTTTGCCTTCTCATATTGCTGAATCATCATCTCCATCTCCACTTTCACTGGAAGGACGTATGCTGGAAAACACAAATAACACTTAAAGCAACCCAGCTGTGATTTGGTTTTTTATCAGAAAGAAAACCTTTACAGGCCAAAGAACATCACCCCTTCCCTTGCATCTGGAGAACTGGAGTATTTCTAATAGAAGCAGCCCTAGAGTACTTTTTTCAGGGAAGGATTTCTGACATGGGAAATGCAGGGCTAGATATTGTTTGCTCAGACCTCCATCTGCCTGGCTGGACTGAAATGCACGCTGCCTGCTCTCCCCAGATTCCAGCCTAGTACAGCTCTTCCCCAGTGTTTACCACGGATTTCCTGAATTTCTAGGTAGGAGGATTTTCTCTTTAGAGTCAGTCCCATTCCCCCTAAACCTGAACAGCACAGCTCCCTCAGGAAAAGAACTATTGCAGAGCCCTAAGCATTTAATTCCTAGACTTTGTGGTAAGAAATGAGTCCTTAATGGACAGAACAGACTAAGAAAGATATTTTGAAGAAACAAAAAGGGCATTTATCTTCTATGGCTGTTCAAGCTACAGCCCAATTTTCAATATTTTCTCAATGGCTCCAGAAATTCTGCTCCTGTCTTCACTATGGCAAACTCAGACTGATCAGAAAAGCTGGTCAATACATACTGCAATTAAGGTTTTCTGAAGCTACACAAAATCCTGAAATTTTCTTTTATACTTTAATCAGAGGACTATGACCTCTCCTAAACTCTACATACAGAGTTTTCTGGGCATTTAAACCCAAAATAACAACTTAACTCTGATTTTTCACACATGAACAAAATGACCATTCTTTCATTTCTTTCCCTGAAGCTGCTGGGCACACAGTAACCTACAGTGAAGTCCTTGCTTCCAGTCCTTGCTTCCACAGATTCTGCTCTCTGCTACCTTGACTTGCTGAGGCCTTTTCACCTCCCCTGGTACATCCCCACAGAGGTCTGTGCAAAACACCACCAATATGCACTTCATTTCCAGGATGTACAGCACTGCAGAGAGCATCTCCAGCTGGGAATCCCCAGGGCAAGAAAATCCTCCTGGAATCTGGCATAAAACTTATTTACTGACAAAACCTTAGAAAAGAAACTCCCAAGACAGAGCTGGCTGTGTGGTTATGGGGAGGGTGCAGCAAATATCAGCAAAGCAGACTGGAATCAATTATTTTGCAGAATCAGGAATGATATCTGGTGGCAAGAGACATGAAGCAGGTCAGAGCATTTCCTTTACAGGATAGGGGATGGGAAGGTGCCTAACAAGAAAACAAACCAATGAATTATAAAGGCTCCCAGGAAGCAGGAGATACAGCCATGATCTCCAGACCTCCTCTCCTCCGTGGGAGTCACAACTCTTCTGTTCAGTGCTAGCAAAATGTAAGAGAAATGACAATGACAGGAACAAGTGGCAGCAACCAATCCTTCTGTGTTTTTAAAACCTCTTTTTCCCAGCCTGCCAGGTAATGCTTGGAGTCCCAAAGTGAGTCCCCACTCACCATCAATGATCCTCTTCACTCTCCATATCCTCAGTGTGATGATAAGGCTGATGGCATCCCAGGGGCTGCTGGGGCCATTGGCCACTGTTGAGGCCACCATTGGTGCCAAGGACAAGATGATGATAGCACCATCAAACACCTAGAGAGAAATCAGCTTTTTAAACCTTTCCTTAAAATCATATCCCTGCTGTTCCTCTCTGACATCTCGAAGGACTCCCTCTTTGCTCAAAAGAAATGCAATTATGGTACCTTCTGAAAGGGATATGAGAGGTGGCCAAGCCACAGAAAGGCTGCATCCTTTTTAGGTAGCACAACAGAATTCCTCAGTGCTTTTTATGAGGTGAGGAGAGATAAACTATGGTGGAAAGGCAGGGGGAGAGAAAGGTATTTGGAAATACTGGCCAAATTTCCCCAAGGAGAAGTGATAGTCTAAATGTTATTACAGCCAAAGAGTTTTATCATCACTGGTATTTATTACCTGTTACTTGGCATAATGTCAGCTAAAAAAAAAGATGCAGTCCCTGTCCATAGATCTTACTGTCTAAATGAAGAGATCAAGAAGACAAGTAGAAAAAGATGGAGCCAAGAGACTTGATGGCTCCTGGCCATGAAGTGGCTCCACACCACGTGTGGGAATGACACAAAGACTGCCTGCTCTCACTTTTATGGGGCAGCAAGGCTTGCAAGGAGTTTGACAATTGGGACCGTTCAGAATGATTTATGTGACATTGGCTGCATTGGGATTAGATCAGAAAAAGCAATTGTGCAAAGCATTAGACAGAAATGAGGCAGTAAATGTGTTCCAGAGCAGAGTGGCAGCAGGGCTGTGCCTGTCCCACACTGGCCTAGCAGGGCAGAACAGAGCACCACGTTCTCATTGCTGTGAGACCCTCCCTGCTGCCAAGGCCCACTGATGAACATGTCCAGGGCATGGATTTTTATAACAACTACTTATGCAGAACTGTGTATAACAATTCAGTGTATTGAAAAGAAATATTTCTTACTGCAGCCACTCAATAGGCAGTAAAAAATATCACTATTCCAAATTACCAAAATGAATTATCAGAAACTGCTGCATTTAGCCTTAATAATAAGAAACCCTGAATCAACTATTTAAGTTTCATTTCAATTTTTTAGCAAAACAGGTTAAAATGTTTACAACTTCATTACAAAAACATGCAAGTCTCTAGATTGCTTAAGCTCCAAGAACACCCAGATTGTGTTCTGGCTCTTCCTGCACAGTAGTGGTTGATGAGGCAATTTCAAGAAAGAGCTTTTAATTTTCCCAGTCTCCAGATTTCTGCTCAGATTGGGATTATGTATTATTTACAACACATGAATTTCCTTTTCTTTCTCTACAAGAGTATACACATTCTGCCTAATTTTTCATTCGAGGTACTAATTACAGTGTTTATCAAAACAATTTCATTATAAAAATGGGGGTTTGACAAACTAGTATTTACTACCAGGAAAATACATGCAATTTTTCAACTAATTCCAACTCAATTATGGCAATGGGGATATAAAACTCAGGTGACAATTTTCATATCTCAGGGTAGCAGTACCATCAGTTAGACCAGCACAGCTCTAACAGCAGAAGGCACACATAGAGCAAGAAGGTCAAAATCCCTCCCTTCATAAAATATTTTCAAATATTGCAATCTTCTGAGTCTCTCATGGACAAAGGGACTGCACCACTCAGCTATGGATAATGCACATAATGAGAAGAGTGTGTGTGTGTTTATCTGCCTTAAAAGATATTGTATTGCACCAGGCTAATAACAAAGCCATCCAAAGCAGTTCTTCATGGGCTTACTGGGGCTGCCTGGAGAATGGTACCAAGAGAGAGCTTACCTCTATTTTGTTTTCAATGTAATCCCATATGCCAAGGACCACAATCCTCAAAACAGTCTAGTAAAATAGATTAGGGGGGAAAAAAGATTATGAATGTTATTGCAGTCTTAGATAAACATTTACTCCTTTACCTATTCAGGGAATAATTTTTTATCTTATTTAAGCATTATACATTTCTTCGAAATAATAATCAGGTCCTAGAAATAGCAAGTTAAAATGCTCATCAGTCTTTCCATCTTCCTAGAATTTTTCTTTCAGATTTGTGTGATTTAGATTACCAACCTTCCCCACCCTCCTGACCCAAGCCTATATAGGACCCACCATGGGGCCCCCTCAGTCAGAACGGGGGAAAACTCTCTTTTCTGGCCATCTTTGATATGCCAGTGCTTACTGATTCTCTAAGAGAAGAGTCCCTGTCCTGTCCTGATGCCTAAAGGTACTGACATTTCATCAGCCTGAGGAGCAGATGCTCTTCACTGGAGTCAAAAGCATTGCTTTATTATAAGATCCCAGAAAGCCATGGGATAAGGAAGAAAAATATCTCTGTGATCCTTCTCTATGAAGCAAAACAGCAATAAGTAACTTCAACAGCTAAAAAACAGGAATAAAGAAAGAACACAGAATGAACCAATGGTGAATTCCCAATAAAAAAATCCAATGGCACCTTTCCTAATTTTAAATTCGCATTCAGAAGACACAATAAAATAAAAAAATCCACCAGTCAACTTGCAATTGATATTGAACTCACATCAAATTGGTAGGAATGTTTCCTGCCAACAGCAAAAACAAGGTCAGATTTTGACAGACATGATGAACCTACCTGCAGCTGGGAGCCTTACAAAGACCACCAAAATGCCACTTTCTCCATTCAAGAGCAGCATAATGACTTAGTGCTCAGCAGGCCTACATATGAGGGGTGACCATGCCCAGAATTGTGCAGAAAAAGGTGGCTCTGATGAATACATGTATTTCCTCTTCACTACAAACACAAATATGAAATCCCAAGCAAGTCTGAATTTATGCCAAGCACACCAGCAGTACCTAACTGCAGAACAACACTGAAAGGCTCACTAGTGTTTCTGTGTGTGGTTTTGCCAACCCCCACAATGGCCCCAGGCCTGGGATGACTGTGCTCTGTTCTCCTGGCACTGCAAACCTGGCTCATTGCCCCCAGCCCTGCTCTGCCCAGGGACACACTGCTGGGGGCAGGGGGTGCTTCCAGAGCCCAGCCCCACAGCACCATGGAGCAGGAAAGTGAAACACCAACACCTCTGAGAAATGGGGGATGCAAAGGCACAGGCCAAGGCTGGCTGAGAAAGTGAGGCACGAGCCAGAAGACAAAAGGCAGCATCCCCTTTCCTCTACAAAAAGTGATGATGCTCTACACAGACAGCAAGATCTGCCAATGCTGCTGGTCTGCACTCCTAAAAACACTGTACTTCCAAAACACTTTACAAATGCAGCTTGGGAGTAAGGCTCTCATCATAACAACCTATATCCCCAAGGTTTATTGATTATGTGGAGGAAGAGATGCACAAGAGCAGATGCTCAAGTCCCTTAATGACCCCAAACTGGCCAGCACAATGTGATGTGACACAGGCACAAGGTGTAAGTAGATTAAGTACACATGCTGTCGACCAGCCAAGGCACTCCTGCAGTCTCAGCTCAGCTTCTGAGCTCAATTCTGCCAGGCAAAAGCATCCCAGCTCCTCTGCCAGCATCTCCCTCACTGCCCACCGAGGAGCTGCACAAAATGCTCAAGTACAAGTTACCTGTGAGCCTGTCAGCTCAGCTGGATCAGTTACCTGGGGTCCACACACGTTCCACAGCAGCAGCTGTGGGGAAACATGAGGACAAGCAGAGCCTCCTAGAAAGCTCAGGGCACCACCTTTCCTACAGCCACCCTGCTGAGAGCACAGCCCATGCTCTGCAATGCTTGGGCAGTGCCAGGTCAGTAAGCAACTAATACAGGATGCCTGAGCACTTAACACCTTTACAGAAACTGAGGGTGAAAGTCTTCCTTCCTTTGGACAGGTGTGTACAAAGGTATTTTCATTGAAATGGCATATCTGCACAAAGGAAACTGAAACACTGCCTCACAACTCTAAATATGATTTAACATGGATTGGTGAGGGAATGTAAAAAAGGTTTTCCTTCCTGCCTTTTCAATTCCCGACTGCAGTGTTTAAATCAGACTGTGCTACTGCCATGTTCATGGGTGGGAGCAGTTCCAAGGGCTGGAAGCTAACACAAATGTTTTCATTGCCATTCTGCTGCTGTGAATCAGCACAAGTCAGCCGTGACTGGAAGTCTTAGTTGGCAGAAACTTAATGCAGGATTGGGTGCTGGTGTCCAGTAAAACGTGGCCAGATGATCAGCACCTTGGCTCTCAGCTCCAGCAGACACTGCAGGAAGGTGAGTGCAAGGGTGGGACAAGCCAGCTCCTCCCATCCCAGAGGTCACCCTACAGAACCAGCTGGGCACAACTGGGGGTAAGCTTACAAAACATTTATTCTCTAGGGAAGCTCTTCAAGCTGTGCACCAGCACTGTCACTCTTAAAAAACCCCATCAGCACTGAATTGCCAAGAGCCAGGCAAGGCTGTCTGTCCTTGGTGACCCAGGAGAGCCCCAGCCTGGCCACTGAGGGGCCCTGGGCCAGTACAGCTCCAAACCTGCCCTGGCCGTGCCCGCTGTGCCTCTGTGTGTCCATGGCACAGAACATCCACTGCTGCTGCCACAGCTCTCACCCACGACAGCTGCAATCAAAGACATTTGGGCTGTACTGGGCACCTCCTTGATTGCTCAGTATAATAAATACTTTGACTGCAAATGAAAGCATTGGATTTCTTATACGTAACATTTTAGTATTTCTTCCAATCAATCCAAACTATGTTTCAAACAAATACATATATATGGCATTTGATTGTATACTGTCTCTGTACAGAACTTTATAAATGAGGACCTGTCGCAGAATCTGAAAAAACACAGAGACAGAAATTAACAATCCAGGAAACTTCCTACCTACTGTTCAAGGAACAAACTGAAAAATGTGTATGAATTAAAAGAGAATTGCAACTGCAAAACATTCATCACAGACAAAACCAGTGTTAGCCACAACTCTACCATTTTTAAGTACAAGAATCTACAAGAAAAAGGGAAAAACTGGAATAGCAGGTTTTTTTGCTGTTTCCTACTGATGTGCAGGCATGTAGCAAATGCACACATATAGTTTTACATTACACCACAGGCATTCTGCATTTTTGAATACACATTTGAAAAAAAACATCCTGTTAAAGGAAAGTACTGCCAGTTTGTCTTTTTGTACTTTAAAGAAAGCTTTAATGTTTTTGAGTCTGGAAATCTTTTCGTTAGAAAGCCCGTAACACATATATTTTTTAATTATATCAGAAATATTTTTCTCCTGCTAAAAGCTAATTTATTACATAAAAGCCTGTCCAGTACACTAATAAAAGGCAAATGACTGAACAGTTCTGTTAACTTCTTTAAGCTGAAGTAAACGCAGGAAAAATTTTAAAGCACTTTTCAGACAGAAATCCAAATTCAAAAATTGACAAAGTCTCCTGGTGACACACAATTGTTTGCACAACATTAACTGTCTGCAGTGAAGTTTATGATGAACTGTGTGATGCTGCAGGCTCTCTCTCTAATTTTGTAGGAAAACTTGGCCAAGTCCTCTGCTGAGCCAGCTGTGTGAATTCCCACCATCTGCATTTGCCAGCTGACTGCACATTAGTTATATCAGGTAATTTTAAGTACTTTTCTGCTTGCACAGTTAATATACAATTTACACTTAGTCACTGTGTCAAATCCCTCCATAGTGTGAAGGAATCACCAGGAGCAGCACAGGAGGGGAGGTGGCCCAGCAGCACAAAGCAAAGGAGAGAAACCCTGCACTTCATGATGGGGTAGGGATTGTGAAGGAGATTGACAGGATGGAGGAGGCTGGAAAGGACGTCCTTAGAAAAGCCCTCCCTTCCTTCCACTGCCACAGAACTAATCTGTCTGTTACAGAGGCTCCAGAAACTCTGTAGATCAAGCTTTTGCCTTTTGGATATATCTCGTAAGACCAAATATTTATTGAAAGCTTCCCCAGAACACCTTGTACCCAATCTGTAATTTATAACCCCTGTCATTGGGGTCACCCACAGAGGCCTCAGCTAATCCAGTCCTTAGAAGAATCCTCTTTTGCCATCTCCTGGCGTGCCTGTATGGCATGTATCCTGCATGAGCTGTTCTAGCACGCTGTCCCCAGGCCACCAGAGCCCAGAGGAATGTGCTGGCATGCTTCAACCAACACATCCTTCTGTTTCCAGGGCACAGGCACCCTCCTCACACACCTTCTCTTCAACCAAGGCTCTGAAACTACCCAGTACAACCCACCCCATGTCCTGCACTGCACGTGGTGCCACAGAAATCATTCCCTGCCCAAGCCTGGTGCCATGAACAGACACAAACCCACTGTGTTCTCTCACTAACACTACCAGGACATCACACACCCAAATGCACCTTTGCACAGACTCTGCACTTCTTCTTATGTTCTCCCAATACTCTCACAATCTTAATTCTTAGCATATGGGGAAAACCAAAGAGATAGCAACTGACAACTCTGTATAGATTTGAAAGGGCTTTTCAGGCATGGGAATGGCTCACCAGAGACTACCAGACATGCAGAGTGGCCAGGGAACTGGGCTTGGGCAGCCCTGCATCACAAGCTGCCTCTGGCATGGTCACACAAGCACTAACACTTCTGGGACATGTGGTGTAGGAGGTGCTGCACTGCCACTATCAAGAGCTGAAAGCACAGCTGAAGCACTGTCAGACCACATTGTAAGTCAGGTATACTATTAGAAATGAAATGGGCAGACTGGCATTTCAGGCAGATGTCCATCTAGATTCCCAGAACTTTACAGAACCATTTTCCATGGTAACTACTTCTTTGTGAATTCAGAAAATTGCTTAGTAAAGAAATTTACTAGTATATTAAAATTTATTTTATATACACTAGCAAAAAAAGAAGCCTAAATTTACCTTTATGAATCATATTAATATAAAAAAATCTGTATCTTTGCTCCTAGACCCCACTACTCAATCCATTTAAAAAACAAAACATACAGCAATGAAGTGCATTTATGCATCATGAGAAAAGCTGTGTGTACACGGAATAAAAGTAAACACACAGAAGAGAAAACCCACAGCTTACAGAAGATTAACAGAAGATTATTATCTTTGCACTCAGCTCTTTGAAGCTCACAAATAATATAACAAAAATAACGTAACTGAGTTTCTCTAACATAAATCATGAACTTGTTACGGGAAAGACATTTTTACTTAGTTTTGCCATTTAGGATGTTTTTCTTTTTTAACAGAACCTGAACAGCAGAGTCTCCCTTTGGAGGTTTAATTCCTTTCAAGGGCTGCTATTAACAAGAAGAAAAGTGGCAGGTTACTGTGAACACTTCCTTTAAACATATAGGATGAGGAAAGTCTTAGTTTTTCCTCCTGTGAGCCATAGCTCATGCAACAGATTGTTTCTCAGCTGGGAGCCCAGACTTGCTCTACTCAATTTGAGAGCTCATTCTGTGGACACAGATGCTGGAGAAAAGCTGTGATTTGGTGCCTGCCTGACACTGAGCACACAAGACTTGGTTCCTCCCAGGGAAAGCCTCACGTGCTTCCCTTGAGCAGAATGCCTGTGTGCTGGGCTGGCTGAAGCACACACAGAGCAATGCAAACAGCCACTAGCAAGGAACTCCATTCTTGCACAGTCTCATCAGTCCTAGTGAAAAGCAGAACTGAACAACAGCCACAGAACCACGGACTTGTGGCAATGGGATAGAACTGTTAAGAGCAGACTTCAATCCACTTACCAAAACTCTGTGACATTCCCCATCTTCCTTTTCTCAGCCAACTAACACCAAGGCTGAATTTGCCCTCTTGAGAGGGTGCAACCCCGGCCTTGCCTTGCTGTTGATACTGGGATTTGCCCCCAGTGCCTCTCTCTTCTCTTCTGTCTGAACGTCTGGGTAACATTTGGTCCACAGACAAATCATAGTGAGGTATGTAAACAGAGACAAACATACACAATCATCACACTAGTAAATCCTGTTCAAATACTTGGAAAAAAGCAAACAAAGCTGATGTGCACTTCACTTGAATATGAATATTTTAATGCTGGAAAGTCACAGACAGTGACAGAGAGTATAAAATGAGCAAAGTGCCTTTAAGGCTTGTGGCTGTAAGACAAGCCTAGGGAAAGCAGGAAGATGCTGTGAGAGCAGCTACTCAGGCTCTGCTGGCAGCTGTCCTGGTGGCATTTGCCAGCTGCTGGCATGTTTAGCCCCCTCATTTTAACCAAGCAGAAAGCCAGTGCTTGTTTAACTCCAACTCCACTGCAATTACCTGCAATGCTTTGAGAGCACCACCTTTAATCAGTCGTATTCTTCTAAAATATTCAGATTTTGTGCTACAAGTTTTATGGGTCTTATCAAGTCTTGTATAACTCTGTTCTTTGAGCTGAGGCCTTTCTGAAGAACTGTGTACCCGTATTTACAACTAATGGGAACCAAACTACAGAATAAACAGTAAACATCCAAACTTAGAACAGAGTACTTGCTATAGAAACAGCTTTTTTTGAACACCAGAAACCTTGAATCCTTGTTTTGAGTCAAAACACAATGACTGAAGGATTCATCAATCCTCAGCAGTTGCCTGTTATCTCCAGGTAACCTAATTAAACCTGCTCATCTCTGGAATATCATCCTGGCATGACCAGCCACAGACTGCAGAATTTCACTGTAACACATCATCTTCTCAACAAATGATCCCAAAGCTGATTCATGGTATGGGAATCAGAGGGAAAAAAAAATCCCCTGAAGGGACCAAAGGAGTAAATAAAATTAAGATGGATTAAAAAAAAAGCCATTTGCAATTTTTGCAGTATTTTGTAACCTCTTGTGAAAAAAAATTATTTGGATGACAGAAAATTATACCCTCTGTTTTTCCTCTCTTAAGACCCAATTCAACATGAACTCAATCTGGCATAAAGCCAACCCCAGCAGATCCAGCAGAAAGGTACACCTGAACTCTTTCCCAGACTGGTGGTCTCTGAAGCACATCCAGCTGCTCTGTAGAGCCACCTCTGTCTCTGAGCTGCCAGATGAATCCATATCCCAAAGCCTACCCTGGTCTGTGCACCTCACATAGTTGTCCTGTGGCCTCATTTTTCTTTGATCTAAATTCAAACCATAATCAAACAGGTGAAGGAAGCTACTTCAGAAGACAAAAGTAGATAATGAAGTGAGTGGTAAGTTTATAATAAATGAGAACAGCAAGTAGACAAAGTAGCTCCAAATACCCAATAAAGAGAGAAAAGCCAACCCAGCTCCAAAATGAGGATGGTGAGTCAAGGAACCTGTTTTGGCTCTGTAAAACACTTGTTACTCTTTTCCTGAAAAATACTTCTGAACCAGTTAATCCTGAACTGAAAGGACCAATTCCTTCCTTGAGCCAGCTGAGCCCTGGCCTCGAGGATGTGTCTGCAGTGCCACAAACAGCCCAACAGCAGCTGGGCACTCAGGGAGAGACACAGGGGCAAGGCACAAGCTGTGAGCACAGTCTGGTGGGGCAAGGGAATGAAAACACAAGTGCAGGCTGCAGCCCAGCAGCAGGCAACTGAGCAGCACAAGAGAGGCTTTTGGTGAAAGCAGCTCCAGAAAGGGAAGGGGTCAGGTGAGTGTGGTGCTGCAGCCATGCTGTAGCAGCAGCTACAGGCTGATCCTGTTGGCAAGCTCAGGATTACAGGGAGCTCCAGGCTGCTAATCCCCACTGAGGAAAGATTCTGGAGGGAAAAGATTTCTTTAAAGGGAATGGACACTATCTAGCAAACCCGAGTCTTTGGGAATTAGGACGTGCAATTCACAAAGGAAAGACTGCAAATTCATTTAATTGCTTAGGGAGCACTTTTCAGTCATCTCACACCTACAGCCCAGCACCACTGTCAGAGGATGGGGCCAGTAATGGGACCTGTTTGTGTCAGTGCAGCAGAAGGCTGGGCTGCAGAGCAGTGTGAGATCCCTGCCTGCCATCACACAATCCTTTCAGAAAGCACCCACTGAACAACACCACCTAAAAACCCTGCTGAGAAATACAAAATGATACGTGTATTTCACTAGGAGCACCATGGAAATTACCAATCACATATGATGAGTATGAATTCAATACAAGTGATTCAATAAATCATTTGTAGATATCTCTGCTTTGTTTTTCCATAATTGGTTTTTTGTAACCTTTGCCTTGTAACGATCTAAATTTCCTACAGAATGAAGTCATTAACAAACCTCTCTGGATTATGTTTTCTCCTATGGAACCAGAAAAAATATTTTAAAATATTAAAGTCCAAGCTGTTTTCCAACTTAACAAACATAAAACTTGTTTTTGTGACAAGTAACACATTACAACCTGAAAAATAGCATAAAAAAGCATTTTGCAATGCTTTTGGAAGCATTTGCTCCATTTCAGGAGCAGTCTAAATATCTCAATACCAATGGCTTCTTTCTGGAACAAAGCTGAAAGCTCAGAAAGGCAGATTTTCCCACTTTGGTAATTTGTTACATCATGACTAGAGCCTTTTCCAGTACGTACATTCATACACATTTTGGCAAAGAAATTCACCATTTGTTTCATTCTCTGGCTATATCTATATGCAGCAACCTAGAATATATAAACCCCTTAATAAGTTGTGAGAGGAGATAACTCCATTCTCAGAACAGATCTTTTTGTACAAAACTCCCATGTATTTTTATTCTTGAAGAACATATCTTCATCTTAAGCCTATACTTTATACCCAATGACACTGATAACAAATGGATCAAACTGTCCTGGCCAGTGTTTGTAGATTCAGAGATGATGATTTCTTTCTGCAGCTTTCCAATTATAATTTGTAAGGCAGTATCTTCCCTTCCATGTTTCCTTACCAATTCTAAGCAACTGACATACAGTGCTAATCTAAATAACATTTTTTTTAGTTTGCTAAGTAGAAGCAGCAATAGTAAACGTTTGCTTGTCTTTCCTTGAGATACACTGTGCTACATTATTTACTTTCAAACTGCTGTAAAACTCTTGCTAATTCCAGTGACAACATAAAAAAACTTTGCAGTTCTGTATGTGGAGAAAGACTTTGGTTATACATACCTCTGAAAAGAAAACAGAGAGGATGACTAGGCTGATCCAGTGAATTACTCCTGCAAACTGGGAAGCACTTGAAACTGCAATTAACATAATACAAGGAAGGGTCATTATAGTAGTAGAGTGCAACTTAGGTTTAGCATAATTAGTACTGCCACAAGCTACATATAGTAAAGCTTGATTTCTTAGATTTTGCAATGGAAGTACCAGAAAGAGGATGGGATGCAATGAACATGGAACTCCAGCCCTGCCAGCTGCTCACCCTCATTCACCTCGCTAAGAGCTCTTCACTGGAGCCTGAACAGATCCTGCTGCTGCTAAGCAATGGCAGACACAGCTCAGGTCTTTGATGCTCTGCCACTGCCTCATGTTCTCACCCCACGCGCTGCTTTAGTACGAGATGTGTGGCTAACTCCTGTGCACCTAAAAATCCAGATCTAGGACTCAGCCAGGAAACAGAATGCTCTGCTATCCCCACATTATTCCTTGTGTTGAGTCTTTGACAATTCAGCTCAGATGATTAGCATTTGTCTGGAACAGGTACTTAAAAACTAGTGCTCAAAATGGGCTTCAAAATACATTTCACGCTGACAGAAAAACACAGAAAGTTGGTAGGGTCCACTAACTGAGGTGCTAGCGATTCCTACTCCCAGTAGGTTGGGCTAAGGGAATGAAGAGCAAACATTCTCTCCTTCCTGCAGGGAATGTGTGAGTTTACCATCTCCACAGCAGCCAGAGCAGAGCAGTCTGTGCAGGCTTGCAGTGTCAGACAATGACTGTGGCAGGCAGGCAGTGGCTGAGTGCATGGAGTGCAGGGCTGTGGCAGACTTAACTACATCCCAAGAACATACAGAGCACACACTGAATGAAGAATTTTATTTTAAAATCAGAATCGATTAATATGGGAAGGAGAAGAGAAGGACGTAGGAAGAAATCAGGATACAAATAAAACTGAGCATGCCCTGTCACTGAACTCCCACTGCTGCAGCTCTTTTGGGGCTTGATGAGAGCATTTGCTGCGCTGCAGTACAGGAACTTAAAGGTGAAACAAATCGGCAGAAGAGAAGCTAATGAAGTTTCCTAAGGCACTTTGTTCACGGGGCAGCCCGAGGAACGGGAAACCGTTCGGCTGCACACACAGGGCTGCCGCTGCCCCCCAGCGACAAGGAGAGACAGAGCAGCCAGGAATTGGGGCTGGAACTCCTCCCGCCGAGCCCGGAGCGAGCGCTGCAGAGCTCTCGCTGTTGTCCCGATGCCCTGGCAGACCCACACTGCGGGGGGGGTGTTGGTTCAGCCCTGACGGGCACAGCCAGGGCACCACTGCCAGCCCAGCTCCGGCTGCTCGGCTCCAGCTGCTGCTTCCACACACGCACCTGCTGCAGCTCAACAAGGGCAGTACAACCAGCATTTCCTGAGTTCCTTTTCCCCAAAACTGCTGAAGATGAGGAATGGATAGACCACATGGTCTGTATTTCTGAGGTACTGGAACCTACCATGACTTTTTAATTTTTTTTTTTTAAATGAGGTGCAAGTGAGTTAATACGCATCTATTTCTGCTTTTGCAGAACATAAGGTATTGAGAAGTTATTTTGTTATTGCTGGTGAGGAGCTTTGAAGACAGACTTTTAAAACCTCATTACAGAACAGAGACCTAAAACAAAAGACCTATTGTATGTCACTTGCTTTCTGGGTTTCTTATCCTGGTATGAATATGCTTTGTGCTAAAATACCCTAAAAGGTCTCTGACCGTTTCACATGTGTACCCTACAGTTTATAAATGTGGTGTCCACCTATGAAACCAACAGCTTTGTCCATGGGAGAAGTGCACCATGCAACCCAAAGACTACATTGAAAGCAGGAGAGAAAAACTATACTCTAAAAATGTCACAGGAAAAGAAAACACCAGGTTTCTTTTGTTGTGGCTTTTTTTTTCTGGGTTGGTTGATTTGGTTTTCTTTTAATAAAGGAAGGTTTCCTAAGTTATTACAGTCTACAGCACACATTAGCATTGTTATGTATAATTGTTATGTATTTTTATTATGCATAATTGTTACTATGGGCAGAACTGGCAGTGACGTGCTGTAAGGTATCCCAATACACTGCTCAGTTTTATAAAGAATAAGAAACCCTTTAAGACTGTAATTACATTTTTGATAAACATAGTTACAGGCTTTTCAAAACCTCAATATAAGTGACACACATCCCTTACAAGACACAAGAGGAAAATTTAGATCATCCTCACTGAGACAGCCTCTATCTGATTTAAAATAAGGCAGAAGGTATTCAAACTTGGCCACGGCAAAAAGCCTCAGGGCAAGATTCATTAGTTAAAATGTAAATCAGTAACACAAGTGGAATGGGTCCTGAGCAAATGCATCCAGCAGAGGCCACCTGTGAACAGTGAAGTCACCTGGCTGCACCCAACACCTGCAGGTCGTGCACAAGGTGAAAGCTGCAGAGCTTTCAGCAGTGGCACATGCACCAGACACACAGGGGAGCAATGATTCCTAAAGTAAAGGTTTCCTTAGAAGATCTTCAGAAAATAATGGTGAGAAAATGGCTGCTTCTAGAGGAGAGTAACTAAAACTGTCAAAACTCAGAGAAACCAGCAGCCTTTAAAACCCTTTGTCTCTACAGGAAGTGAAAATTCTCTACATAAACAGAAAGATGTGACACCTCAATAAATATTGTTGAAAGCTTCTTCCTCATTAAGGCCTTATACCCACAATTAGCATTCCTGACTTTTTTGAAAGTTGCAGACTTGTCCAAATCCTGGGCTTCCTCATCCAACAATGGTGAGTGACCAGAGAGCAGAGAAAGTAGCAGCTGTAACAGAGCAGCCATGCCCTGGCAGTGTGTGCAGGATGGACAGATGGGTGGAAATGGGGAGCAACAGCACAGAATGACACATAGTCATTTATTTATCTTACAGAATTTAAGAAGTGGCTGCAATTATCAGTGAAGTCCTTTAAAGTCATCTTAATACAACTGCAACACCTGAATCTTTACTCCACTACAATCAACTGACAAATTGAAACAGTAAAAGGACTTCAACAGAATAAAAATTTGGTTTGATCAGTTTAAAGTTGCCACAGGAGACACCAGACACTCTCCTGTGCAATGAACTCTTGCATTTATGGGATTGTCTGAACCCCAGCTGCCATTTCAACACATCTGAGATTGCATGGAGATACTAGAAGCTGCTCCTCAACATTCAGCTTAGGGGAAAGTGTAGGTGGTGTCTGTGGTCATGTCAACTTTGTATTGTAAAAGGAAAAAAAGCAAAAAAGGAAAAAAAGGGGTGGAATGGAGGAAAAGAAGAGTAGGGAAAAAAATGTGAATTAAGAAGCAAAACAGCAGCATAAAAATTTCCATTGTGGAACCTGTGTAGAGTGAATTCAGATAAAGCAAAACTCCATTTAAGCTGTTATTTGACTCACAGTGTGTTAGGAAAGTAGAATGAAATCTGTCTCATTTCAGTGCATTACAGGCTACAAGGCTATAATTTCAATTCCTATCCACTCGAGCAGAAGTAAACTAATAGGAGGTTAACATCAAGTACCCTATTTATTTTGTATGTTCATCACTTTTGTCTATCCACATGTGATGGGTATCAGAGATTAATGATGCACAGATTTTTCTCCTGTGCATATGTAACATGTCTGTAAAGGACAGAGCTTTTCAAGTATTAATGACAACACATGCAAATCTCTACGTGTACACTCTGCTTGTATCCTTTGAAAATCTGTCCTGTACTGAATTTGTTATTTGACCTAGTTTTGGTCAGAATAATGAAGAGGACACTGACTTCACTATACCAGGGTTCCACAAGAACACATTTCTTACCTAGCCTAGTAATAATTTAAATGGTAGGGAAAAAACATCCCAAACATCCTCCCCCTTCAAAAACCTCCCAGCAAGTTAAGCCTTTATTTCATAAAAAAAAAAATTAAAAAAAAGAAAAGAAAAAAAAAATCCTCCTACTCACACTGGAGAAGCTTTATATCTATTAGGAGTTCCAGAGTCAGAAGAATCACCACCAATACTACACAGGCTACCAGGAAACTGTTGAGACTTGCACTGAGCAAAAATACCTGCCACACAGCTGCTCGTCTCCCACAGCACGGTTTTAGCCAGTTAGATCTAAGGAAATAAAATTAAGGGAAAAACAAGAAAAGAAAAGAAGAAGAAGTGAAAAAGGAAAAGAGCTAAAGAGCAGTGAACTCAAATTGGTAAGTTCTGCTGTTATGGAGACACTCAGCAATAATGCACAAAGACTTTGCAAAGTTCACATTCACTGGTTTCTTTACCAAGAGAAATGTAAGAAAAACCTTCAGCCCGGGATCTCCCAGCTCTGGAGTGTGCTGGTGTCCAAGTGCCTTCAGTGCAGAGTCATGCAGTCCTAATTACCACACACACTTTTCTGCTTTCCTCCTGCCTCACAGGTTCTCATGTGCTCTATCTCGACATACATGCTGCATTCATTTACCAGTGAGTACCAAGGCACAGCAGGACTCTGCTATTCAGAAGCTAATGACTTTTTCAAAAGAATTTCTCTGCTACTGAATTTTCTGGTCATGCACCTTTATACCTGCTCTACTATGAGACAGATCTGACAAGGGCTGCCAAATTTAGATTGCAACAATCAGTCCATGACATCATGGAAAAGAACAACAGGAATCTGGAGAACACCAAAGCAGCAGCTCAGTGACTCCACAGCTACACTTTATAGTAGCAAAGGTAGGCAGCCTGGCAAAGTGTCAAGCCTCTGGCCAAGGCTCTCTCCTTGGCTATTTGTCCAACTCTCATCAATCTGTTTGTGGATCAGGCCAAAAATTACCTTGCCAAAGTTTGGGGGACAGCATGCACCAGGGGACCACTCCCAAACCTGGTTTGGATGAGGTCACCCTTTTTCAGAGGAAAAAGAAGGTTTAGGTAGGATGCAGGAAGCTGTGAGGAGGCTGAGTTCTCAGGACAAGAACTCTGGAGGGAAGCTGATGAAGCAGTAAATGTTACACTAGTGTTGTGCTAATGCAGATACACTTTTACAAGAGGGTTACTAAAAATGTATTTTTTTTTCTTTTAGATGTATTGGTTATAGGAATAACAGTAGTATGGACTTCAGAAGCTTAAAGCCCATCCTGATACTGTTCATCTCCTAACTCCTCCCTCTCAGTATCACTTTGATGCAGTATCACATCATCTCTCATCAGTGTTCTGCAAGGCTCCTGTACTGGCTCACCTCAGAAAGTTCAGATGAGATGGCTGCCTGACACTTCAGATTTTCAAAGCACTGTAAATACACATTAGGAAATGAAAAGCTGACATGATTTATTAACCAGGGTTTAAAAAGCTGCAAGCATGGTGCAGTAACCCCACTGCCTGACTAAAATATCACTACACAGAAAGCAGTGGTGTACAAGAGGATATGGTAATACTGATCAATTCCTTATAAACAGCTCTAGACTCACAAACTCACACTATAATCAAACACTTGGAAAAACTTCACAAAATGTTCTGACATACTCACAAATGAGGGAGAAAGCAATGCCAAGCAGTGCTCAGAGACTCGACACTTCTGAGCAGCTTCTCAGAATTAAGCATATCAACACCACTTGTACTCAGATTGCCTGATTGCCTGACTGTAAAAGACCTCCTCAATTGACTCTCAAAGCTTCAGAGAAGATTTGACAAGTGTTACTATCAGCAACTTGCCCTTAGGTTAAACTTTGTTATGGCTCCAGCATGAATACAGAATGCATGAGATTTCAAATAGCTTGTGTTAAAATACAAGGCAAAAAAAAGGCATTGAGATAGGGCCTTTTTGCCAACTTGATCTTTTAATGGATTTTATTTTACATCATCTCAAAAGGGTAACTTATTTTTCATGCAACTATGATTTTGTGGGTTTTTTGATGTTTCTAAAAACAATGACAGGGGATGGCTCTGTTTAAACAGGACAGACTTTAGTTCTAGTCTCTGCTTACATTTCTCTTCCCTTTCCAAAAGGACCCATTATGCCAGTATTTTAATATTGCAGGGCAGCTTTTCCTATGCACAAAATCATCAGTAGAGGGCCCAAGTACCTGCCTCTAAAAGCTCTGCATAGTCAAGATTTTCAAATATACCAAATGTACCAGTAAGAATAAACCAGCTGTAATACTTGGCATACCATACATATAACCATGATAATTATTACTCGTGATGTTAATTATGTATCGAGTCCTAAATAACGTGGCATTATTCTGTCTGTTCAGTATTATTACTCAATATTAATAACACCAATTCTAAAAAGCTTCTGAATGAAACTACCACTTTACAACTGAAAAAGCAATCAGCTTAAGAGGTCAAGTGCAGCTCAGGTGCACATTTCCACCTCTACCACACTCATAAAATATATCCATTGATTTAAAGACACAAAAGGATTTGAAATTTAAGCACTGGAGAAGCACCTTCAGCTCTGTACCCTACCTTGCTGCACCAAGGTGAGTTTGTTACCATCTGTGGATGGAGAGAGATCAGCACCTGCACACCCCTTGTCTGCATGTTAGAAACCATCCTGACTCCTAACACACACAGATCTCACCCCTGGAATTTGTTTGAGCAGGGCAGTGTCCCTCTCTCTCTCTCCCTTCTGATGTGCAAGGGCTCTGCTATTGAAATGAGAAATCTGGTTTTGGAGAAAAACAAATCCCTACCAGGATTACTGTGCATTTGAACTTACCTTCCAAATTCTGGCCATTTCACCTGTGACACTGCAAAGCTACATTTAAAATTTTAAGCTCAGATTAGAAATTCAGCTACACAGAATTTTCAAAAAACCCAACAAACCAAAATATAACTTACACAGCTCATAAATTTATGAAGAGATTTCATACTAACCACAGACAAGTAAATAACTTCCCTCGAGACAAAAAAACCCAAAAAAAACAAAAAAACCAAATCACCAAAAACCCACAAACTAGTAAAAAAGTCCCATATTCTGTTTCTATTGGTGTCCTGACTGTGTTTCCTTGAATTCACTGACAAGCGTGACTTTGGAAAACTTTCCTGCATGACTTCAAACAGATTTCTCAGGTATTTCAGCTACTTTGTCTCTAAAACAGAAGTATCATTTACCTTTCTTGAAATACCTGAATGAAGTAAATAAATGTACTAGCATTTTCAATTGTTGGTGACACTGAGCTGTAAAGTTTTGTTCTGAGACATTAAAATGTATTTAGTGGAATTTTACCAGGGGTAATTTTTTTTAAAGATACTTTCACACATGGCTTTGTACAAAACCAATCTGTCATCATCCTGTTCATCTTACTAATAAACAGCTTGGAAAAAAAAGAACATAAGGCAAAACTGGGAAAGGTTGAACATATTTATCTGGTAAGGAACCACTACAAACAGTTTTTTCAAGCTGTTAACAGCTGTCACTGTTTCTATTTTCTCGTCTTGTAAACAAATACCCCAAAATCTGCATTATACCTTACCCTGTCTTTTTTTTTTCCTTTCTTTTGGCTAAACAGCGAGTGTTTGCACCTCACAAGATGGTTCTGATGAGAAAACAGAAGGATGGATGGGATCCAAATTGCTATCTGAAGGAGCAGAAAGGCCATGGTCAGGAAGTGACAGGCTAAATAACAATATAAAATCTGGCTGAGCCAACACAGACAGCAGAGCCTCTCAGCAGGCTGCAGGGAGCAGCTGCAGGCCTGGAGCAGCCAACTCCAAGGAACACACAGAGCTCTGCACCTCTTTTCTGGACTTCTACAGGTTTGGTTCAACTACAGAACTTGATCTATTGACAATGCTCTTATCTTTTTTTCCCCCTAAAACTTGTCCTATTTCAAAGCCCATGGCACTTCTTGGCAGACTTCTGCAAAACTCTGCTGCTCCAATGGCAAAAGAGATTCCCCCGTTTTTCTCCCCAGACTCACCCACGGCCAGTTCATACACACTCGTTCTTGTGCCAGTATTATTCTTCAGCTTGATTAGGTCTTTTCCCTAGTTAGCATTTTGTCCATGATGCATTATAAACAGTACTGGCAGCCACGTGTGTAATTCAATTAAAGCCCATGCTTTTTGTAGAACAGACCCTCAATTTCTGTAACTATCCTAGCAGCCTCCTCTGCACATGAATACAGACAACTGAAGCAGTAGATAAAATTTTAGAATAAGCTTAATTAATTACATGAATGCTTCCCAGCTCTACTTGAATGACTTGAAACCTTCTAAGATCATTTGTGCTTTCTTTAGAGGTGTATATCACACCATTTGCTCACAGACGTCCTGTGATTACCTGGCCTTTCACTCTGCTCACTAGAAAACCGCTTGTTAGGTTTCTCCTTTTCATGCTAAAATCTTTAGTGCATCAGCCTCAAAAACTGCCTTTAGGAAACATGAGAACAGCCATACTGGAACATACTGAACAAAGGCTTGGCATCCTGTCTCCAACAGTGGCCATGAGCAGAGGTGAACAGCAAACACAAATCCTTCCCCTTAACATTCTCACAGCATCCAGCTCTTTTCCATTTGGTCACTTCCTGAGACACATGTGTTTTCTCAGGTTGTACTTAGTAACCTTCAATGAATTTCTCGTCTACAGCCTTGTTCGACCTCTCCTTGTGGGGATGAGCTACTCTAAGCCACACATCCTTCAGAAAGTAGCTTCAGGCATCTACTGCCCTTTGTGCCAAGAGCAAACTCTTTTAGTTTCTCTGGAACTGGGCCTTAATCTATTAATGTACCTTAGAGACTGTATTGGGAGGGGGCTGTGTGGGTGTCAAATCTATTTTAACCTGTCTATGTCACAGACTTTGTAATATCAATCAAATCTCAGTCAATCTTCTCTTTTCCAGACTGCAGTCCCAGTTTACATAGCAATCTCCAATGGAAGACATATCACATCTTTGATCACTGTTTTTCTTTGATTCTTTTCCAGTTCTTTTATATCTACCATATCCTTTCTGGCAGACATCAGAACTGCACTCATGTTCAAGACGTGGGCAAAGCTTGGATATACAGAGAGGCACAACAACAGCCTTTTTTATTCTCTGCTCTTTTTCCTAAGCAATCCTAAAATCTGATTTGCTTTTACACTGCTGCTCAGCATTTAGCTGATGTTTTTTTACAGACCTGCCTTCCTGACAAAT